GAGAAAGCTTCTAAGAGAGACAGGGGACTGGAAAGTGGGTTGCTGGAAAGTGGGTTGCCCACCCACCCTGCTTTTCAAAGGTGTTTTATACAGCAAAGCCATGAGGTGAGGTGGGTACAAAGCCCATTCTGCCATTATTTTATTAAGTACTGGGGAATTGAACCCAGGAGCAGTATATCACTAAGCAACACCCTGAGCCCTTTTTCTCTAGTGTTATTTTGAGATAGGGTCTCACTAAGTTGCCCTGATTGACCTCCAACTCATGATCTTCCTGTCCCAGCCTCCTGAGTAGCTGGAATTAGGAGTGTGTTCCACCATACCTGGGTTGTTTTCTTTTTTTGTAGCTTTATTTCTCTACTGAGATTGCTTATCTTTTTATTGATTATATGCATTTATGCCTTTACATCATTCAGCACAGTCAGAATTCCTTAATTCTAATGTTACCAACTTTGGGGGCCTGGGGAAATTCTTTGCAGGTTCTTGGTGTCCTGAGCAAAGAATTGGGCAAGACACAGAAAAGGTATCGAGGATGTGGATTTGTTAATTTTTTTTTTCCGGCACCGGGAATTGAGCTTGCACTTGCTGGGCAGGCATGGTGCCCCTGAGCTGCATCCCCAGCCCAGATGTGCATTTATTGAAGGTGGAAAAGAAGTTCACTGTGCAAAATGAGAGCAGGCTGGTGAAAAGGCTCACAGTGTCCTTGAGGATAATGGAGGGGGCCTTTTGTATCAGGAATTCCTAGATTGCTTCTCCCTCATGCAAACAAGGCATTGGGGATAGTTGTCCTGTCAAAAACTTACTTGCCTGGTGCCAGGTTTAAACACTCCTATGGAAGACTTGCTTGGTTTCATGCCACATGGTCCTGAAGAATTGAAAATGGCGCTTTTCTGATTAGTTCCTGAACACTATGTGGGATCAGAATCACCCCACATTCTGTGTTCTGTACATGTGCTGTGGGTCTCATGATTTTGGCAGTTTATACCCACTTGCTTGAGTGGATTTGCCCCAGACCTAATCTATCGCACTAAGATTTGGATCATCTTTAAAATCTATCTTTAAATATATTATTTTAAAATATGGGTCACAAAGCTGGATGTGGTGGCACATACCTGTAATCCCAGCACTCTGGGAACGTGAGGAAAGAGGATCACAATTTTGAGCCTAGTCTCAGCAATTTACCCATTTAAGTGAGACACTGTTTCAAAATTTAAAAAGCAGGGGTGGGGGGGATGTAGGTCAGTGTGAAGGCCCTGGGTTCAGTTTAAAAAGTCACATATTTTTCTTTTTATTTGCAAGTTGAGTAATTTTGAGTTTGTTTTGTTTTGCTTTTTGAGACAGGGTCTTGCTATGTAATCCAGACTGCCCCTGAACTCACTGTGTAGCCCAGGCTAGCTTTGAACTCACTGCAGTCCTCCTGCCTCAGCCTCCCCAGTGCTGAGATTACAGGCATGTGCTACCACCCCCAGCCAGTAATTCTGGATTATATCCTGAATGTCATAAAAGATGACATAGGGATTCTGGATTGTGTTATCTTCCTCTAAAGCCTGTGTGTCTATTATAATTAATTAATTAATTACTAGGCAGTTCATTTGGCTGAATTCAAATTCTAAACTGTCTCACTTGCAGTGGGCAGCAGCTCAAATGTCAGAGCATTTCTTTAGGGTAGAGTTGTGCTTCTTAGAGCCAGCCCTTGTGTGTGTATAAAGCCAGAGATTTGGGCAGAGTTTATGTGTGGATTGGGGATTTACCTGTGGTTGTCTCCTTTCTGAGATTTTCCTTCCTCCCTTTTCAGCGGCTGTGTTTTCCCTGGACTCTGACCTCTAGTGTTTTCTATTTTAATTTTAGCCACAACCTTGAGCCAGTAGCCATAAAAAATGAAAACTTACGGCTATTCCTTTCTTCCAAGTCTCTTGTATCAGCCTAGTTTCTGTTGCTCTATAGGTGTTTCATATCATGTACATTTTGTATAGAGTTTACAGTTTTCTGTAGGAGAGAGTTGATCTGATAGGCAGTAACTGGCTATTCCTGGAAACAGAATTCTAGATTATGGTCTTTAGTCCAATAGTAGAAGCTCTTTAAAGGGTGTGAATACATTCGCATTTCTAAATGGTTGCTCTAGCTTGATTGCTTTTTCCCCCTCAACACCAAAGTTGCATTTTCTACCACCAGTTCTCTGTTTCTGTGACTCCAGTTGGTTGCCCAACAGTTCAATTTTTTTTTTTTTTTGGAGACAGGGTTTCTCTATGTAGTTCAGACTGGCCTTGAACTCACTGTGTAGTCCAGGCTTGCCTCGAACTCACAGCAGTCCTCCTGCTTCAGCCTCTCAAGTGCTGAGATTGTAGGTATACACTACCATACTTGGCTTCCAACAGTTCAGTTAGATTCTGACATTAATTCCTGAATTAGCTTGTACCGCACAGGTTAAGGACTCAGTCCCACAAGACCACCCCTACAACTACAAATGGGGCACCCAGTCTACACACATTTCTGCTGGCTAACTACAAAATTGTGAGTACCCACGACCTCTCTCCCATTGGATAATTCACTAGAAAGACTCATAGAACTCTGCCATTACCAGTTAGTATTAAAAATACAACTCAAGAAGATCCAAGTGGAAGACGTTCATAGGGCTAGGTGTGCAGGGAGGGTGTGTAAAGATCCATGCTCTCCACAGGCATGCCACTGTCCCAGCTCTTCATTGTCAACTCAGAAGCCCCAAGCCCATTCATTTACTGCTGCGGTTGAACCCAGGACCTGTGCATGCTACGCAAGCAATGTACCATTGAACTAGGAGTTGAAATAAAAAAATACAGTGAATGTTTAATTTTAAAAAAATATATTACAGTACAGGCCAGGGATTTAGCTTAGTGGTTCTACCGCCTGCCCTGCAAGTGCAAGGACCCGAGTTCGATCCCTGGTACCAAAAAAATAAAAATATATTACAGTAAAAGACACATTGCCGTTAATCCCCTTTAGAATACTCCTGACTTTGGGGCCAGAGATGAATGATCTTTTATTATTCCTAACAAGAGCTGTGGCCAGAGTATCAGCATTTTATGTAGTTGGTTCTTTAAATCCCAGTTCCTGAAGAGCCAAGCAAAGAGAACCAGATAACATTGCATGTGTAGTGGGTTCCTTTGTAGTAGAGGAACCGTGAGTTGAGGAAACATGAATCCTTTTTATTGGATAGCGTGCCGGAAGTGGGTGGGGTTAGAAGTAACTGGCCCGTGATTGGCCGTTTCACAGTCGTATGTTAATTAACCTGACACTTTGAAGTGTTTTCAAAAAGGCAGAGCATTCAGAGTGCTTTGTCGAACCTGGTAAAAAAAACTAGTCTTTAGCATGTATGCAACAATATATATTTGTGTAAAATGGTGGTTTAAGAACTACTCACCACTAACGAAATATGTGTATGTTTCATAGAGTAAGGAAATATTCCACAAATTTGGCTAATATTGTATTTTCAGGAATTGTTCTCATAGTTCATTATTAGAGAAGTTTCTCTGATCGTGTAGGATACCAAAAACTATAATAAGGTGTAGTATTTCTTTTTAAGCATAAAACTGTAGTTGTTACTTGAAAGTGATGGTCGTTCTTGCTTTTGTTTTGGGGGGAGTGAGGGGTGTGTTTTATAACTTTGTAAAAAGTAGCTTTGTGATTTGTCTCTGGGAAGTGTACTTGAGAGTAGGATTTAAAGTATGTATGAGTTATTTAGTATGAAGTTAAGATTCATGTATGGAGCCAGTTATTAAAAAATACTAAAAATCCAAAGAAAATATACTTCCTGAATTTGGGTTTTTTCATTATTTGGATAGATAAGTAGTAGTTTGTAAGTTGAGAAAACTGAACAAGGATGAGCTTTTTAGAATATCAGAGCAGATATCCAAAACTTTAAAGTCCTTAACTACTTGCAAAGCTATTAAATACCTGAATAGTACATTTATTTTTCTTACACCATTACTGTGGTCAATTTCCAGGTGTAGGTCTTGTCTGTTAGTGAGATTGAAGCCAGCGCTTTTGCACTTAGTTTTATTTTCAACTTTCTTTTATTTTGAGGCAGTGTAACGGTAAATCCAGCCTGATCTTGAATTTGTGATCTTCCTACTTCAGCTACTCAGTGCTTTCTCAGTTATTAATTTATTTTGACTGATCACTTGGGACTTGGTCTCTGTTGTGTGTTTTTCCTTGTCAAGTGAATCTTTATAGTTTAGAGATGTTTTTTAGGTGGAATGGCCTGGTCCTTTAATTTATGTTATTGTTTTCCCGACACATACATCCTTTCCTATCTTCGTATGATTGAGAACCATTTAATTTGTTTTGTCCTATAGTTATCAGATACTTCAGTCGAAGTGTTTCGTTTTGTTTAATTGGAGATTGAACCCAAGACCTTTGCATGGACTTATATTTCCAGCCTCTTTTTAAATTTTTTTAAAATTTTGAGACAGGGTCTTAAAGACTAAATTGTGTAGGTTGGACTCAAACTTGTGATCCTCCTGCTTCAGTCTACCAGAATGATTGCCTTACAGGCATTCACTGTTACAACTATCTGGGATTGCCTTTTAAATGATTTTTGCTCTTTTGTGTATCTTTTTGTGCAACTAATGAAGGCTTTTTTTCTAATTTCCCCTTTTTCTTTCTCTTTTCCTGTGCTGGAGTTTTAATCCAGGGCTTTGAATATGCTAGGCAAGTACTCTACCACTGAGAGCTATATCGCCCCAGCCATTTTCATTTTTTGAATTTTGAGATAGGGTCTGGCCAAATTCCCCCAGCTCGTTTTGAATTTAAAATCCTGCTTCCTGTCCAGCCTCCCAGTTAGCTGGGATTACAAGCATTTCCCACCATGCCTGGTGTCATTTTTTTCCCTTTTAAAAAAAAAAGTTCACAGTAGTAATTCATGAAAGTATAAGGTAAAATTTTAAAATTTCCTCCTAATATAAAGTTCCTAGTTCCATTTCAGGAAGATTCCTGATATTTACATTGATTCTGCATTTGCTTTGCAGGAATTTATGTTGATGCAGTTAATTCCCTGGGGCAGACAGCGCTTTTTGTGGCCGCCTTATTGGGCCTTACAAAATTCGTTGATATTCTGGTGGATTATGGATCGGATCCAAATCAGTAAGTACAGTAGCATGAACATGTAGCTATTAATGAAGTGTTGTCCATGGTCCCCTATCCCACCCACCCACCTCCGCAGTCGTAGGAGTGTCATCCCTGTCCTGTTCCTGTCCCCTCCCTTCCCGGGTGCTGGGGAATGAACCTTAAGCCTTTGCAATGAGCTACATCCCTAGGTCTTTTTAAACTTTTGATTCAGGGTCTCACCAACTTGCCAAATTGCCCAGACTGAACTCTTAGCTGAATTTGCTATCCTCCTCCCTTACCCTCCTAGAGTAATAGAATTACAGGTGTGTGCTTCCATGCTGGGCTAGGCATGTCCTCTTAAAACAACCAGGAACATTTCAAAAGTACTTAGTGCCACACACCTGTAATTCCCAGTACTTGAGAGGCTGAGGCAGGATGGCTTGGTAGTTCAAGGCCCAAAAAAGTACTTTTTTTTTTTGAAACAGGGTCTCACTGTGTAATTCAGACTGGCCTTGAACTCACTATGTAGCCCAGGCTGGCCTCTAACTCAAAGCAGCCCTCCTGCCTCAGCCTCCCGAGTGCTGGGACTATAGGTGTGTGCCACCATGCCCAGCTCTGCACAATTAAGAGAACCTTTGCTAATTTATGTCAATAAAATATAATTGTGTGTATTTCAACATATGCCCGTATTGAGAAATAATTTTAACTGCAAATACAATTTTTTTAAATAATTATATCAGCTTCTAGGAAATGACTAAGTGAAAATAATTATTCACTCATTAATTACTGACTCATTAACAGCACTGTTTGTATACTTCCACTCCTGGGTTATAATTTGTATCATGTACTCCATTTGCTTAAGCGATTTAACATCCCCACAACCACCTTCTTCACCAGGTAGTACAGGTAGTATTGCTGTGTCAGAAAGGATGACTTTTGCCTGACTTTTATAATTCAGACTTAAAAGAATCTGAGTCTAGCAGTCGACCCTGATTTAATACGCAAGAACAACACAATGTAATGAATCAACCAGACGTGAATGTTTTCTGTTTATGAAACTTTGGCTCTTCCCAGGGCCTTCCCAAGTACTGTTCACCTGATTTGGGGTGTGTGTCTGTGTATGTGCGCGCACACATGGTACTGGAATTGAACCCAGGCCCTTGACAATGAGCTGTGTTCCCACCCTGTTTATTTTTCATTTTGAAATATTTCATTTTAAAATAGGGGTTTGCCTGAAATAGGAATTGCCTAGCCTGGGCTCAAACTTGAAATCCTCCTGCCTCAGCCTTCACCTCCTTGACAATAGCCCTTTTTATTTTGAGATAAGGTCTTGTTAAATTGTCCAGACTGGCTTCAAACAAAAACTTCTAATAAGGGGCTGAGGAGGTAGCATAAGGGTAGAGTACTTGCCTAACATATCCAAGGCTCATTTCAAACTACTACTACAAAATAAAACAAAAACTTACAATAGTATTGTTTTTGAGCAAGAAAACTGGATGGTTGGAGTTGGGAGGGTATTGAAACATCTTTTCTTATATTTTTTTTCTTCCTTATTTGTCCTTTCTTTTGCTTCCTTCTATTTTCTTTTGCTTTTCCCTTTCTCCTCCTTTTTGTGGGTTGTTGTTTGTTTGGTTTTTTGGTACCAGGGATCGAACTTGGGACCTTGTGCTTGCAAGGCAGGCGGTGGCACCACTGAGCTAAATCCCCAGCCCCTTTTTGTGGCTTTTATTTTGTCTTTTCAGACAAGATCTTGCAGTGGAGCTCAGGTTGGTCTCACACACTGTAGGGAAGGCTGGCCTGAAAATTGCCATTGTCCTGCCTCGCCCTAGGATTACAGGTGTGTGCTGCTGTGTCCTGATTTTTGTTTGTTTCTTTCTTTTTGTTTTTTTTTGTTGCTGTTGTTGTTGTTGTCTTTTTGAGACACAGTCTCCTTGTGTAGTCCAAACTGGCCTTAAACTCACTGTGTGGCCCAGGTTGGCCTCGAACTCATGGCAATCCTCCTGCCTCAGCCTCCAGAGTGCTGGGATTGCAGGCATACACCACCATGTCCAGCTATTTTTGTTTCTTTTTCAATTAAAGGGAAACAGATCTCTAGGAAATTCTCATGTGTGGCCAGGTTAGGAAACTATAGCTACATATCATACCTTCTCCCATTACCTAAACATAGTAAACACTGTCCCTTCATGGCCTCCATAGTTTACTGGCATATTAGTCAGTTTTTTGTTGCTGGGACAAAATACCCAACACACATAATTTAAAGGAAGAAAGGATTATTTGGCCCACAGTTTCCAGTGGGTTCAGTCCATGGTTGGTGGGCTCCAAGGCAGAAGTGCCATGGTGAAAGGGTCAGGTGGAGAAAACCTGCTTAATCCATGGCAGCCAGGATACAGTGAGAGAAAGCAGGAGCCAAGGAGGGAGTTAGACCCTCCAAAGAAAGGCACACTGCCCCCACAGTGACACCTCTTGCAATCAGGCCACACCCCCTAACAGCACATTCAACTGTGAACTCATTAATGGATCGATCCATAGTTGAGTATAACACTTGAGACATTAGGGGACATTCTAGATCTACACCATAAAAGTGTAATGGAGAACTTTTTCTGAGGCATAAGTCCTCAACTGGATAGGTGATGCTGAGGGTTTGGGGGCCTCCTACCACAGGATGGGGGGGCGGTGACAAGAGGACTGATCTCTGGTTCTGTGCCTGACCAGCCTGAGCCCAAGAGTCCGTAGACATGAAGGAAGTGTTTCAGAGCAGCCACTATCACAGGATAGTAGGGAAACACTGGGGTGGAATCAGACCCATATCTCAGTATGAAGCTCAGCTTTGCACTTTTGATTCCTCATCTTGGCTGTGCGAGATGATGCCACCTTGACGGGCTGAGGTAAGGATGGAAAAAGGGGTGTGTGAAAGCTTCTGTTGGCGGAGGCCAGGGGTCTCAGGAGCAATTCTCTTCTAATCTTCATCACTAACGGTTGCCATCATGCCTGGGAGCCCCGTCTCTCTCCATAGAAGGAAGAGGTGTTGCTGTGGACACTCACTGTACCCATTCCCCCTTTGTCCGCAGCCGCTGCTTTGATGGCAGCACCCCTGTCCATGCAGCAGCATTTTCAGGCAGTCAGTGGATCCTCAGTAAATTACTGGATGCAGGGGGTGACCTGCGGCTTCATGATGAGAAGGGTCAAAATCCACAGACCTGGGCCTTGGCAGCAGGGAAGGATCGCAGCACTCCGGTAAGGGGCCCCACTCTGTAGTGAAGTCCAGTGGAAGACCACTGGCCTGAGAGTCAGGATCCCAGGCGCAACACAGAGCTCACAGCAGTCTTAGCATTGCATTGGACACAGGCCTGGGTTAAATAAAGCAAGTTAACCAGCTGTAAAACCTTGGGCAAGTCAGGTGAATCTCTCTAGAAAGTCATCTGTTGAGGGGCGAGGTGGCGCAGGCCTCTCAGCACTCGGAGGCTGAGACAGGAGGCTGAGATCTCTGTGAGTTCAAGGCCAGTCTGGGCTTCATAGTGAGTTGAAGGCCAGACTGAACTACATAGCAAGACCTTGTCTCAGACCACCCCCAGCCCTCCAAAAGAAAGTCATCTGTTGAGTGTGGTGGAGAACAACAATAATGTATGACCCATTTACCCAGCCCTTATCACCAGTCAGATGTTGTTCCAAAAAATTTTTTATGTGTTAACCTGCAAGAGCCTCTCGGGTCAATAAAGTGCTGTTATTGACCTAATTTTGCACCTCAGGAAACATAAGCCCATTGACATTATGTAACTTGCCTGAGGCCACTCACTGACAGGTGTGATGCATTTTAGTGAGGGCTAAATAACGGGACAAATGTGAAAGCCAGGAATATGTGAAGTGCCAGCCCCTCTGTGCAATCTCTTTCCCGCCCTCTAGTTCTCCTGCTCATTAGTCTTGGGCCCTGGGCAAGTGGATTGCACTCTTCTCTGCCTCAGTTTCCTCAGCCGTGGAAGGGGAGGGAGTTGGAAGCAGTCATGGACTGATCCTCTCCCTGAAAATGTTCCATCCCTCTAAAAGTTTCCTGGGCCCTTTCTCTTCCCTTTGGGAGGTCTGCTATCCTCAGACCATTTGCACTTCCACCCAAGCCTGTATTTCCATTGAAGCCTGGGGTGGCTAGCGTTGAGTATCTCTACCATGTGTTACAGATGGTGGAGTTCATGCAGCGCTGCACCTCGCACATGCAGGCCATCATGCAGGGTTTCTCTTATGACCTCCTAAAGAAGATAGACTCCCCTCAGCGGCTCATCTGCAACCCACCCAGCCTTGCGGGCTTCTTGCAAGGGTGAGTACTGCCTCTAGCACAGTAGAGTAATCTGCCTGTCCCCCCTTCCTCATGGAGCCCTGTGTTGTGGGCTGTCATGGTCTCTTTTACATTGGTGCCTACTGGTATGAGAGCCATCCAAAGAAAGAGCTGGGCTTGGAAAGAGAAGATGTGGCCCTTAGTAAAGGCTGCCTAGAAGAGCATTCTTTTCCCCCTAGAAAATCAGATGGAAGTGGGAGTGAGGTCCAGGGGGAATCACCCCACCAGTAGAAGAGGAGCTTCTGAAGTCTGAGAGGCCCAGCAGTAAACTCTTACCCAGTAGGGAAGCTGACTGCTTGGGTTTTTTTGTTTGTTTTTTTGGTCATTTTCTGAATCATGGAAAGAGAGTGTTCCTATCTTACACAGGTTGCAGTAGCCCACCAAAAAAAGCTTAATTTATGGTTTCTGGGACTGTTTGAAGCTGATGTAAGATAGTTGTTGCCCTTACGCAGTTCATCCACTCAGTTTACAGATATTTTTCAATTTGTAATTATTTTATTTGCAAGTGTTTTCTGTTTTTCCTGTCAAATTGTGAATTCCAGTTGGACAGAGACTGTGTCTCATTCATCATTAACCCTTAGTTGCCAGATCAATGCAAAGAAAGTATGTTCATAGGAAGCCAGAAAGGAAATCCCAAGTTCAGTATTGATAAACATTGGTACCAGGCATCGTGGCACATGCCTGCAATCCCAACCCTCGGGAGGCTGAGGCAGGAGAATGGTCTCAAGTTGAAGACCAGCCTGGGCTACATAGCGAGTTCAAGGCCAGCCTGCACTACAAAGCAAGACCCTGTCTCAAAACAAAAACAAAAAATTGATATACACTTGAAACTTCAGTTACTAATCTAGACAGCACATTTCATAATTAGATGATTCATAATTCATCTAATTATAAAACAGATGCTATGTCTAGAGTGAGTGGAATGTTTAATGGAAAATAGGATGGGGCTGGGGAGTTAGCTCAGTGGTTCTGCTGCCTGCCTCGAAAGCACAAGGTCCCAAGTTCAATCCCCAGTACCAAAAAAAAAAGATGGAAATGCATTTCCTTTCCTTTTTTCTTAATATAAAGAAATCACACAAATCCTGGAAATAAGAGTTGGCCTCAGGTCTGTGAGTACTGCATCAGATATAATTTCCCATAGGTGTGTGAAGATGCAGAGCTGAGATTGGGAAAGAAGAATAGAAGCACTGAATAGGAAGAAATTGGTGGTTGGATAGTTGTGGATAACTGGAGTCCATTTTTACTCTGCCTCACATGGATAGGGACTGAAAATTTTAGTTTAGTTACATAGACGAACTGAGAAATTTAAGTGAGAAAGCAAGACGCATTGGTCTGAATTGCATTTGTGATCCAGATTGGTATCAGAGAACAGTCAGCTCCTTTGCTTAAACAGAGCTTCCACCGTCCAAAGAGCTGACATGCTGTTCAGAGGCCCTCAAATGGGAGAGGGAGGGCCAGGGATTTAGCTCAGGGGTTCCGCTGCCTGCCTCTTGAAAGCGCAAGGACCCAAGTTCGATCTCCAGTACCAAAAAAACAAAAAAAAACCCAAAAAAAGTGGGAGAGGGAGCCCTGGTCAGTGTGTCCCCTGTTGCACTGCTGCAGGGAGATCCCACCCTCACTGATAGAGCCAAGTCTATCAGTCTGTCGGAAATGCTCCACTTAGATCCTTCAGGTCTAAGCACATAGGCTTTGTTTCTAGAGGAGACTGCTGATTTGGCATAAGAAAGGGGCCTTTCTTTTAGAATGTGTCTCCTCAAAGCAGGGAGACCACAGGGGTTATCCCATACACTGACTGTTTCCAGAAGGAAGATGCTGGGATGCTAGGTATGAACTGAGATGTCCAGTTTATTTCTTTATTTTTTTGGTACTGGGGATCAAACTCAGGACCTTGTGCTTGCCTGGCAGGAGCTGTGCCACTGAGCTAAATCCCCAGCCTATGAGATGTCCAGTTTACCTCAGTCCAAACTTCACAATCTTCTCTTCAGCAGCATGACAGGTGAAAGCAAGGAAAGGACAGCCTGGCACTGAAAAGTTGCTGAGGTGATAAAGCTGGAACAATTTCAAGAGCAGAAGTACAGCATTCTCCTCTGTTCACACATAGTTGCAATGGGACCTCACAGACCTGGTACAGGTTGGGGCTGGGTATGCACTGTTCCACCAGCTCCTTTGCCATTTGCCAAGAAGAGGAAGTGGCTTCTGCAGCACCAGAGTGGTTTTTTTTGTTTGTTTTTTTTTTAAATCTGACCTCCAACTCCTCAGTCAGCAAGCATTCACTAAGCACCTGCTACAGTACATGCATGGCATACTGCCAGGCCCCTGAAGCCAAAGAAATATATGCCATTACCCTCCCAAGGCACCTTCAGTTCACGGAGCCCTGCTGTGCAGGTGGTGGTTAGGGTGAGGTGTGTGAGAAGACCACTGGCTGGATGAGCAGCATTGAAGTCTGGCCTCTGCTCCTGGTCTGTGACTTCTCTTCCTGGGCTTTATCTTCCCCATTGTAAGATGAGAAAGCTGGAGATTTGCTCTGTGATTACTCTCAACTCTGATCATCTGTATTTCATTAACTTCAACCTGTAGATTTTTTATTTCACGTCCTTTTTTATTAGTGAATATTGGTAATACAGATTAATGCACATAACAGTCTTAGATCAGTTCGCCCTCCCCCTAGTTTCACTTATTTTGTTTCAGTGACTATATTTATTCATATTCTTCCCCCATTATCCGTCCTTATATCATCCTTTCCCTTTTTCTGTTCCTCTTTAATAATAGTGTCCTTTCTACATTCTTATCTGTTTTAGATTCCACATATGAGGGAGCTAAATATTTTTATCCTAAAGATTTTCTGTTGGTCAGAACTCAGTGAATGGCTTACGCAGTTTACACTGAAGATGTTTTTTGGAGCTGCCATCATCCATCTGAAGGCTTGACTGGGGATGGAGGATCCAATTCCAAAATGGTTTACTCCCATGGCTGGAAAATTGGTGCTGGGTATTTGGCTATGTGTGAGGCTGAATGTCCTCACAGTTCTCTCAGGGCAAGTTATCCCAGAGAGATCAAGGCAGAATCCCTGTTAGCTTTTACTTAGGAAGGGATACTCCATCATTTCTACAATATCCTACTAAGCTAACAGGTCACCCTTCTCTGACTGTGAGGATCGGGAATACCAGGTAGTGAGAATCACTGGAGCCTTTTCAGGGCTGGCTATGACAGTCTTTAGTTCCATGGTAAAAGTCAAGTCACATCATGCTTGTGTCAGCAGCATATATGCTGACATTGGAACACACACAAGATGAGCATGGCCCCTGGACAAGAATGACATGCAAATCTGAAGCGTTCCATTGATGGAGGGAAAGCAGCCACAACCACAGTGCTGGCTGGTGGTGATGTTGACCTGAAGGAGGGGTTTAAGAACCTGCGGACAGGCTGTGCCTCTCACCTGAGGGTTGCAGTGGGTGCCCAGGGTGCTTCCTGCATTAAGTCTATAGTATAAGAGATTAAAATTTGAAAAGTCGTAAGAACTACACATTCCAAAACTTGGTTAAGTATTACTCTTGATATGAGTGGTAAATTCTCGTTTTTTGGTGTTTTTTTTATACATTTCTAGAAGTCCTAATGGCTCTCCTAACCAACCTCTTAAAGCTGGAGTCATTTCTACCCAAAATATCTACAGCTTTGGATTTGGGAAGGTAAGGTGTTGCCACTGACAGCCTCTAACCTTTTTTCAAGTCCTCCTGTATCCTCACCAAAGTATTTTTTCTTTTTCTCCTTGCCCCCTTGTGAGAGTTCCTGTCCCCACTGACAAATGGTGAAAACTCTGGTGAATTCCTATGAATGACTGTGGGTCAGATTTCAGGAGTTTAGAAGATGATGCTTTAATTTTCAGTGAAACCCCCAGATACATTCTCCCTTAACGGAGAGGAAAAGAGCTGCGCTACCCCCGTGGATTTGCTTCCTGATGACCTTGCCCTCCCACTGGGTTATGGGCATGCTTTTGAGGAATTGAGATTGTAAACTGAGGAGGTTTTTTTTTTTTTTGGTACTGGGGATCAAACTCAGGACCTTGCACTTTCGAGGTGGGCGGCAGCACCACTGAGCTAAATCCCCAGCCCTAAACTGAGGAATGTTGTGAGGACAGATAGTGAGTTTGGAATCCTTGGCTCTATGTGTCAAAAATAGACAGTTGGGAAACATTGCTTGGGAGGAGCAGACATAGGAATGTGTGTTTTCTCTACATTTAGGCCCAGGTTCTGTGGGAGTCACAATAGGCCCCACAGTCCCAGCCCCATCCCCCGCACGTCAGGCAAACATGTAATTTCCTACTCTGTTTCTCCACTAGTAAAAAGGAAAGAATATTACAACCTCACAGGGTTTCTAGGAAGATTAAAAATAATGTAAATTTGCACAAGCGCAAGGACCCGAGTTCAATCCCCGGTACCAAAAAAAAAAGAAAAAAAAAATGTAAATTAGGGCCGGGATTTAGCTCAGTGGTGCCACTGCCTGCCTCACAGTTGTAAGGTCCTGAGTTCGATCCTTGGTACCAAAAGAAAAAATGTAAATTAAGGAATAATGTCCAGTGCACAGGGATATTCAACAAATGAGTAAGTAGCAGCTACCATTATTTTTAACCAGCTGACAAGACTCTGGAGGTATTTTGCTTTTCCCTTTTTTTTTCCCCCGCAAGTTGATGCTGTGCTTTGGTTTCAGTTTTATCTCACAGGAGGGACACAGCTTGCTTATCTAGGCTCTCTTCCAATAATTGGAGAAAAGGAAGTGATTCAAGCTGATGATGAGCCCACTTTCTCTTTCATCAGTGGGCCTCACATGGTCATGACCAAGTAAGTGGGAGCTGGTCAGTGGGAGGATCCATTTGGTCCATGAGATGTATGGGCTGCAAATGACATTCTTTTAGGTGGAGGGTTGGTTCTTCAACACAAGGGAGCATTTAAGGACGTGTCTAAATCAGAGTTTTTCGTGTGGAAATTTTGGCTAGATGATCCTTTGTTACTGAGGACAGACCTGTGCATTGGAGAATGTTTGGAAGTCAACTTTGTCCCTTCTCATTAGGTAGCAGTGGCAGTCCTTTATGCCCCGTGTGGTTATGACAACCAGAGTTGTCTGTGCACATTGTCCATATCCTCTGAGAGGGAGAACCCAGCTCTGAAAGATCACTCATTATAGTATTTTCATCTCTCTGCTTTCTAAAATATTGAGGTAGCTTTTGTGCTGATTACTGTGCCTTTGATACAGGCCAAAGGATACTGAAGCCTCCATAGAAAGTGAAACAGGCATCATCTGGTGCTCTCATCAGCTAAATCCAGGGGAAGTGGCAGTAACAGAATTTGTTTATGAAGAGAGTCCCTGGAGTATTCTCAATCTTCAGAGACCCATGCCCTGTAGGTCACAGAAGATGTCCTGGCCAAGGTCTCTCAGCTTCTTGAACCTGAATGCTTTATTCCTGCTTAGAAGAATCACCGTTCTAATAAAAAGGCCTCTGCCAAATTTGCAAGGCCCTCCATCCTCTTGTCCCCTTGTTTTCCTCCCCATGCTGTGGATTTGTTGATGGATCTTCTCTCTGTCCCATTGTTGCTGCCTCTACCGAAGTCATCAGGATCTTTCTCCCAGATGGAACCATGACTGGTCTTTTATTCTCTAGATCACCACTGCCTTACCCATTTCCCACATTGCTGGTACCACTGTGATTCTAAAATGCACATCTGATCAAGTCACTCCCTCCCTGGAACCTTCATCACCTCCTGCCACCACACCTAATTCTCCAGGGCATTTGTGGACCTGGTAGTTGTGGGCAGGGAGGATCCAGCCACCCCAAGGGATATAAGAAGTTCTGTGTAAACCTCAGTCCCCTGGTCTCATCAGAAAAGTTGACTCACTGAAGCCATGGCTGCTGATGCCCTCTGCTTTATTCTCCCCTGCCACTGCAGCCTTGTGTGGAATGGGAGTAGAGTCACAGTGAAGAGCCTGAATCTCCCCACTCACAGCAGCAGGCTGAGGCTGGCTGACTTACTGATTGCTGAGCAGGAGCACAGCAGGTGAGAAGAAGGCCCAGGGGTCAAGGTAATTACAGGGCCAGGTCTGTAGAGACCTTGATTCCTGGCTATGGAGGCTTGTCCCTGGAGCACCAGCCCGCATCAGCCTCACTATTTCCTGACTGGTGGAATTGGTTGACTTGACTTCTAAAGGCTGCCAAGAAAGGGAAAGAGGAATTTTTTATGAAGTTTGAGGGATGGGGATAGTGATGGTAAGGGGCACAAGTCTGTGAACTCTCCATAACCCTTCTCTTGGATGGCCGAGCCTCTAGGCCCATCTGGTTTTCCTGCCATTGCACCTAAGGCTTGTCCTACTTGGGGCCCTGTACTCAACATAAGAGCATGTGGCTGCCCTGTTTTCATGGAGCATGCCTAGGTATGAGATTCATATGTCTCAGAACCACATCTCCACCATTGAGGACATGCCATTTGTCTTCATTTCTTAGGTTTCCTCTGGCTCCAGGTTTTGGTCCTTCAGCTCCTGGTGGGACAGGCTCCTTGAGCTCTTACCTAAGTAGACCACTCAACTGCTGCAGGAGGTGTCCCTAGAGAGGCCAATGCTTCTTTTTGGAGAAATCAGCCCAAAGCCCCAAGGTGGGCTGGGAGGACCCATGGCCATAGTATGGGCTTTGACGTGAGACTGAATGAACATTGGGCAAGTTCCTGACATTTCCTTGATGTTAGGTACTCCATTTCTAAAGTGAGTATATAAGGATGCATTTCTAGCAGATGATGGGTAGGATCTGAGATGATAGGTGCAACATAAGCAGAATGTCTTTCTCCAAAACTTTCAGCAACATTGTCATTGTTGTCACTGATTCTCCTATGCCCTTAGAATCTGGTCAGCGAGAGAAGCCACAGGTTTCATCAACAGATACTACTGCACCTCCAACCCATGCTCATTTCTTAGAAAAATTTTATGTAGAGATGGTACTTGTTTACAGTGGGCTCAAAGGGCCTAGAAGAAAGGACATCACCTATATTTTCATGATATGCTCCTGTTCGCCACCCTTTCTGAAGCTTCTTTCTTTTGCAGCAAGCTTCGGCATCCCCACCTACTACAACTGATGGCTGTGTGCCTGTCCCAGGACCTGGAGAAGACGCGACTTGTGTATGAGCGCATCACCATTGGCACACTATTCAGTGTCCTCCATGAACGAGTAATCAGCCATCCTATGGATCTTGCCTCCCTCCACTACCCTTACCACTTTTCCCTGCCCTCTTTCCTCTGCACCAGCCTTAGAGGTCCCATAGTGAATGCATGGAAAATAAATCTGTAAATGCTTTTTTCTTATGGGGCTGTGTAATATGCCACTTAATGTTGATATGTAAATGGTCAGAAGTTATGTGACAGTATTATTATTTTTTGTTTGGTACCGGGGATCGAACTCGGGACCTTGTGCTTGTGAAGCAGGCGCCAGAACCCCTGAGCTAAATCTCCGGTCCTTATGTGACAATATTATTGTCAGTCCTGCTTGTTTGTCAGCTAAGAGGTCAGCTGACCCAGAAACACACAGAACCTGTTTCTAGTTCATTAAGCCATTGCCCACTGTCTTTCCTTTGCTTCATTTCCACTTGTGCTCTGTCCTGGCTGGTTCATATAGAGGTCTTTTATTCCTCCCTCATGACTACTCACATTTCCTTGTGGTGGGGAAATACCTTCCATGGCTGACAGGTTCCCAGCAAATCCCTGTGGGCTCAGAGTGCTCCTGAAGGATGTTTCTTTCTCTGTGTCTTTGTTCTAAGGACCCTGGGAGGGAGTGAAGAGAGACCCTACAAGAAAAGCTTTTCTCCCAGATGGTTTACCATCCCTCCTACCTGATGAAGTCATTAGCATTCTGCTTTTGCTTTTATTTTCCTGGCTGGAGCCAGTGCCTTAAAATGGCATTTCCCTAGTGGAGAGACATCACCGGGGTACATCAGTGTGAGTGAATTTCTCTCTTCTTAGGATGGTCTTCCTAGTTCTTTTGACTGCATCAGGGCTTGATTGGTCATCTTGCAGGGTCCTTAGAGGGCAGGTTTACTGGTAATTATGGGGCACATTCCCTGGTAATTTCCCCCAGGCTGATCTCTGATGCTTACAGCAGGCTTAAAAACTTTTCCATTTATCATGGTATAAAGCAGTTCAGCCAAAGGAAAGAGCCCAGGTTTTGGTAGGAGCAGATTAATTGGACTTTAGTGTGGTCACACAGCTTTTCAGGTTCCTTGTCTGTAAAACGGGGAGACCAAGTAGCTGTGAGATTTGTGAAAAGCCTTTGGAAATTATACAGGATCCTACAGTGTCAGGGGGCTTTTCCCTTGTCTTCCTGGCACTTTCTCTCTCGCTTGCAGCGGTCTGAGTTCCCTGTGCTGCACATGGAGGTGATGGTGCACTTACTGCTGCAGATTGCTGATGCCCTGAGATACCTGCATTCCCGGGGGTTTGTCCACCGCTCCCTCAGCTCTTATGCTGTCCACATCGTGTGTGCAGGGGAAGCAAGGCTGACCAACCTGGAGTACATGTTGGAAAGGTAGGTGTAGTCTCAAGTGTGGCTTCCTCCTGAAGGGGCCTCTCTGAGGGACCTCTGCTGTAAAGACAGAATCTAATCTAGGGAGGACTCCTTGCCATTGTTTAGCAGAAAGGTCCATCAGTGGGGAAGAGATCTTCCAGATTCCTTGCACTGTCCACCAAGGCTTCAGAGACTTCAGGGAAGTTACTTCTATTTGGTACATTCTCCTTTTAAGAAGCTTATAACAAGAGTCCATAGTAGCCAGTGTGTGTCAAATCTCTAAATGAAATGTGTCTTGCCTGGAGGAGGGAGAAGATGATGGGTGCAGTGAGCCTTTGGTGTGTCACACCTCCTGGATACTAAGTGTTCCCTGCCCTCAGGAGGTTCAGCACAGTGAGGGGCACTCAAAAATACTGCCCTCATTCCAGGGGTAGTTTCCTGTTGGGCTGGAGTGAAAGGCCTTCTGAGAGTTGGGGGCTGACCCCTATTTCTTGCCAGGCTCTGAAAGGCAGAGGTTCTCTTTTTCACATCATCACTGCTAGGCACAGCTCTGAGCCTTTGCTGAGAGGCCTCAGCTACTGCGCAAACTCCTGTTCAGACCACCTACCTGCCCTTAACCTTGTCCCACAACCACCTGTCCCTGATGCTTTGTTTCTGAGTCTCAGCATGTCTTGCTCCTCACGTGCTCTGTCACTCACTGCTTTCACTCTGGTGAACCCTGTGAGGGCAGAGATTTACCTTATTCACTGCTGTGTCCCTGATGCCTACACCGGCCCTTCACTTGGGTGCACTAAGCAAGTGGAACTGAGACTGTCTCTCCTCCTCAGACCTTGAGCACTTCTTGTCCTGCTGCTTGGAGAGGAGGGCAGGCTTCAGATTGTGCTTGGTCGTGTGGGTCGTAGTGAGGAATATGAACTTTACCTTGAGTCCCCGGGATGCTGTGAGAGGGACTTTTTGAGCATTATGATATCATGGATGACATGCGATTCTTCTTGGTCCTATGTGTGGAGAAGGCCTATGAGGGAGAGAGAGACTAGGAAGAGGTATGCCTGGAGCAATAGCACTTTACTTTTTTTTTTTTAAAACAGGGTCTCACTATGTAGTTCAGGCTGTCCTTGAAGTTACTAGGTATCCCAGGCTGGCCTTGAACTTGCAGTGATCTTCTTGCCTCAGCTTCCTGAGTGCTGGGATTACAGGTGTGCACCACCGCTCCCATTGGTTGAATTTTTCTATGTGGGAACAGGCAGAAGCCAGATAACTCTTACAGTCAAGCTGCTACACCTCAGATCTGTCTATTCTCCATCTCAGACATTTCAGGGAGGAACTAAGGGTTGAAGTTCAGTGATAGGCTACTTTCTTAACATGTGTGAGATCCTTGGTTTGATCCCTAGCACCTTAAAAAAAAAAACTTGTGAGTGCAGTGGTGCATGCCTATAATCCCAGAACTCTGAGAGACTGAGGCAGGAGAATTGCAAGTTTGAGCCCAGCCTGGGCAATTTAGTGACTTAGCAAGACCTTATTTCAAAATTTAAAAATGAAAAAAACAAAAGGGCTGGGGAAGTAGTTCAGTGTGAAAAAGGGCTGGGGATGACTTCAATCCCCAGCACCAAGAAACTTGCCGTGGTTCCTCATTGCCTTCAGAACTACCTCTGGGTATCTTTGCAGGATGTGGAAGCCTTGCCATATGGGGCTCTCTCTACTCGCGGCATTGACCTCTTCCCTTCCATGACCTAGTCATTTGAAGCACCCCTTTAGTCCATGCTGTGTCAGTGCTGCTTTCTGCATCCAGAATACATGCACATACTTGTGTCTCCTGCATAAACTCACTTCAGTCACAGTCCAGCACATCTGTGAAGGCTGCACAGATGACCTCGTACCTGAGGCACTTTGTGTTTTCTTCTCCTCACACATCCCTGACATCTACTGTAGCCCTTGGTACAAGTGTCAGCCCTGCTAGGTAGCCACCTCTCAGGGAGCAGGGACTGTGACTTGTTCGTCACTGTCTTCAGGAGTCCTGCATAGGCCTCGTCACAAATAAGTGCTCAGTCAGTGTTTGTTGAATGATTGGATCCATTTAGGTGAAGGGACAACTTGAAATGGTCCAGAGCAGGGTTAACTACTTTAACTGTTTGTTCTAGAGCAGTAGAAGCTAAGTGGTTTGTACTTACTGTGCTGTTATCAGCACCAGAGACTTCAGGAAAGCTGACAGAATCCAAGCTATTGGTCAGTGCTGGAATGACATCTGTTGTTGAAAAGGAAGTGTAACAGTTTCTTCTGCTTTTGCTCTCCCATAGAACTGTGATTCCTGGAGTGAAATGGAGCTTTAAAGATGACCTGGCCCAATTCTGTTGGTTTTGTTTTGTTGGTTGATTTCTGTTTGTTTGTGTTTTAGTTTGTTGGAGGTATTGGGGATCAAATGCTGGACCTGGTCCACTCTAGGCAGCTCCTCTGCCCAAGGTACACCCCTAGCTCCTACTTCCCCTTTTAAATGTGTAGATGAGGAAGCAGGCCCAGAGGGCTGGGAAGTTTTCCATTTGATTGGTTAGAAGCATAGGTCTGGCTAGAACCAGGTGGTAAAAGATCCCTGTGGGCCTCGGGGACAGGGTGGGTTTGAGGTTGTGTATGGGAAGGTGATCTCTAGGAGGCCACAGGATGGAGCCAAGAGGCCAAAGTGGTAAGGCCAGAAGGGAACTGCACAGAGGAGCAGAGGTCAGCAACTGGTCAAGTGAGGGGTGGAAGGAATCAGGATTGATGAGAGCCACACCAGGTATGGTGAGAACGTGTAAGAACTCATTTGGGCTTGTTGACTCACAACAGAACTTCAGGCAGAAATGTCAGTCGGCAAGCATTTTCGACCCTGACACTGTGCCCTTCTTTGAATGCTGAGGACAGCAGTTGATTACCCACAAATCCAAAATAGCTTTCAATTTTGCATTTATTTTTGGTAATAGTCTACTTGGGCACATGAGTTTGTTGAATGTCATTATCAAGAGTAGCGCTCCACGTCTTGGTAGTAAAGTGATGTAGCAGGTTTTCCTCTTCACCTTGTTAATGGAATCTTCAGAGCTGGACTTGATCTTGCTAGTGGTGTCATCTCCTGCAGGTGAGTGTGATTTTAATGGTACTGAAGCTGAAGGCCAGAAAGATAGCTGTCATTCAGTGACAGCCAGAAAAGAAGTTTTCCACCCCCAGCTAGCTTTTTTCTTTTTCTACCCGCTAGTACTGGGAATTGAACTCAGGACTTTCCACTTGTAAGGGAGGCGCAGCACCACTGAGCTAAATCCCCAGCCTTCCCAGCTAGCTTTAACAGAGAAGGAAGAAAGGATTGTAAGAGAGGAAAGTGATAGGAGATAAAGGAAAGGATTTGAGTCTTGGTTGTAAGTGACTTGTCCCTTGCAAGAGCCTTAGAGAAGCATAAGAGGCCTCAGGTGGGTGTTTTCTTGGAAAGTTTCCACCCCTGTGCACAATTTACCATGCCAAGTATGGTAGCTTCTCAGAATGTATCTCATTCCTGTTTGTCCAAAACTCCATAAACTGGGCATTGTGGTGCATGCCTGTAATCCCAGCACTGGGGAGATTGAGGCAGGAGGATTGCTGTAGGATTGAGACTAGCCTGGGCTACATAGTGAGTTCAAGGACAGCTTGAACTATAGGGAGACCCTGTCTCCAAAAAAAAAAAAAAAAAAGCCAGGGATTTAGCTCAGTGGTTCTGCCGCCTGCCTCACAAGTGCAAGGTCCCGAGTTCGATCCCCTGTACCAAAAAATAAATAATTTTTTTTAAAAAAGTCTCTAAAAAAAGAGACATTATTTTTTAGGGAAGTTAGTCTGGAGAAGCACACATCCTATTCTCTGAAATACTTCATTGCCTTTTCTAGGGACTGAAAATATAGCTCCATGACAGACCACTTGCTTAACATGCAAAAGGCCCTGGATTCAATCCCTAGCAACACAAGAAAAGCAACCATTGGTTTTTCTGTGATACTTAATTTTTTTCATTCTGGGTATTGAATCCAGGGAGCACTTAAGTACATCTCCAGTCCTTTTTATTATTTAAATCTGAGAAAATTCTCCAGGCTAGCATTGAACTTGGATTCTTCTGCCTCATCATCTGTAGTAGCTTGGGTTACAGGTGTGTATCACGTAGCACGTGGTCTCATTTGATTCTCATTGACAGTCATGTGCAGAAGTCAGCATTGACCTCACACTCACCCTGAGGACTCCTGTTGGCCTAGGAGACTTTGAGGATGGGTTGACTTAGCTTTTACAGAATTTGTTTGGGAAGATGAGTTATTCAGACAATCAGTGAACCTCTGAGTGCTCAACTGACAGGGTCAGTTCCCAGGAGGGCTGGGGTAAAGGTCCCAGGTGGTTTTGATACAGAAGATGGGACTGGAGGGAGGTTTTGAGAGAGTCTTACATTGATTTGTTGAACAGCAAGCATCTGGGTCCTGGTGTAAACTTGGGGCTCCAGTGATAAAACAGACAGATAAGGTGCCTGTTCTCAGCTGACTGTAGTGGGAGATAGATAATACACTAAATAAATGAACAAAAGAAATTCACATAGTGTTCTGAAGCCCCTGATACAGGACTACTTTAGATTAGGTGGTCAGTGAAGGCCTCCCTGAAGAAGTGACGTTCAAATGAATACCTCAGTCACAAGAAGCAGCCAGTTGTTCTAGGCTCTGTGGGCAGAGAATGCCAGCAGAAGAAGCCACTGGTGCAGAGATTTGAGGTGGTAATGGGCTTGACATGCAGGAGTGACAGAGATGGCTCCTGTGACTTGAGTGGAGCCGGTGAGCAGGAGAGTGGCCAGATGATCGGGAGCAGGAGGGGCCTGGGTGGGCAGGAATGGTAAGGAACTGCAGGCACTGGAACAGCACTGAGGCAGTGTGGGTAGCTCAGTGTCTCACTACCTTTCCAGAAGCTCAAGGAGCTTGCCAGTCTTCACAGCAAAGATTTCACCAATGCACTGTGCGATGATCACAGTGTCCCTTTAAGACACCATCTCTGCCTTGTGTGTTTCCTTCCATAGCCAGGGCAGTGGTAGACACAGGGACCTGCATCAAGTTCCCCTCCCCACGGAGCTGTACAACTGGGCCTCGCCAGAAGTGATCTTTCAGAAGGCAGCCACGGTGAAGTCGGACATCTACAGCTTTTCCATGATCATACAAGAGATTTTAACAGGTGATCGGGGAGCACACTGACAGTTAACCAAACTCCTTATTTTTCCCTCAAGAGCTAGTTTTATGAAAGTGAAAGATTTTTAAGATTTTTATTTTACTTTTGTTTTGTTGTTTTCTTTTCTTTTTCTCTTCTTTTTTTTGGTACCGGGGATCAAACTTGGGACCTTGCACTTGCAGGGCAGGTGGCGGACCAAGACACTTCTTTGTACTTCTGGAAGATATAAGATGATCTTGTAGAAATCTTTATTGTATCTGTTCTTCAAGACTCTGCAAAGCTCATCTATTTACTTATTACCACATTGCCGCCAGCTTGAACCACTGGTGGTACATGCATGAATGTTGCATTGGGCAGCTTGTATCACTGGTGGTACAAATGGATCTAATTGCTTTTATTGGTCTTTTTACTAATAAAATTAATAAAAAGCCACCACCCATGCTTGCACCGCCATTGGTTCAAACTGCCTGGCAGCAAGACATATGAATTACAGCCCCTTTGTGAACATGTGAATGATAACACATTTATACCAAGCAAAGGGTTTTTTTTTCTGTCTTCTCCTCCTCTTCCCCTCTTCCTTTTCCTTCTTTTCCTTCTCTTTCTCTTCTTCCTGCTCTTCCTCCTCTTCCTTCTCCCCCTTCTCCCCCTCTTCTTCCTCTTGCTTCTCCTCTTCCTCCCTCCGACACCCTCATCCTCCCTTCTCCCTCTTTTCCTTTTTCTGCTCTTCCTCCTCTTGCTCCCTTCCCCTCTCCTCTTCTTTCCTTTCTTTCTCTTCCTTCCTTCCTCCCTTCCTTCCTTTCTTTCTTTCTTTTTTCTTTCCTTCTTTCTTTCTTTCTCTTCCTTCCTTCCTCCCTTCCTTCCTTTCTTCCTTTCTTCCTTTCTTCCTTTCTTCTTTCTTTCTTTCCTTCCTTCCTTCCTTCCTTCCTTCCTTCCTACCAGGGATGGAACTCAGTGCCTTGCACTTGCCAGGCAGGTACAGTGCCACCGAGCTACATCCCTGGCCCTCATCTGTTTTCTTCTCTTCTCTTTTCTTCTTTTTTGCAGTGCCCAGGATCAAACTCAGTACTTTGCCAATACTAGGCAAGTGCTGTAGCCCTGAGCTACACCCCTTCTTCTCAGGGAAGGTTTTAAAATTGAATATTGGTGTCAATGTTTAAGGATCCTAAGGACTTGTAAATGAGGAAAATATTGGCTTCTGAGAAGTAAATATGAAATTAAACACTTCCAGGGTCCCATAAATGTATAAACAGTGTCACATGAAAGAACTGGAAGCCCTTTCAAACCTATAGGACTTCAATGTGAAGTAGTCACATATATGAAAATAGGAGGCCTTTTTCAGGAAGCAAACACAAGGGCTGGGCATGTTGCTCAGTGGTAGACCACTTTCCTAGTATGTGCATAGCCCTAGATTCTACCTAAGCACCATTGGCTGGGGATTTAGCTCAGTGGTTCTGGCGCCTGCCTCGAAAGCGGAAGGTCCCAAGTTTGATCCCTGGTACCACAAAACCAAAAAACAACAACAAAAGATGGTTGCCTCTACCTAAGCACCATGAAAAAAAGGATTATTAAGAAAAGAGGAACACACACAAGCATGTGCACACAGAGTAAAACCACATTCCCTGAGGAAGTAAGAATCTACTCCCTTTTGTAGTGTTTGCAGTCCTAGAGACAACACTGCACCTGCCATGAGGTGAATGCATTGGGCTACCCAGATGAATCCCATGAATCATTCCCAGGTCCCAAGGCTGCCAGGAGGACAGCCTGTGTACATGTGATGCTGAAAGTACTATTTCCCCTGCCCTGGTCAATGGGCAAAATGGCTTCTCATTTGTGATTGGCCTGATGTGTAAAGGGGTTGAATAACTTGACTGTGGCTGCACAGCTGCATCTGATTTCTTAGTTACTCCTTCCTGTACTTTTTCCTTACAGACAGTGTACCCTGGAATGACTTAGACGGCTCAGTTATTAAAGAAGCCATCCTCTTAGGAAATTATTTAGATGCTGATGTCAGGCTTCCAAAACCTTACTATGATGTTGTTAAGTCAGGCATCCAAGTCAAACAGAAAGACCGAACCATGAATCTTCAAGATATCCAGTATATTCTGAAGAATGACCTAAAGGCAAGCCCTGAAGTTCTTGGGAGTTTGATTCTACTTAGCCATCTTGGGTAGGCAGTGAGAGACAGAGAAGCTGGAGACCAAGCCATAGAAAGCATTGGAAACCCTCATTTATTATACTTGTGTGTTTCTGAGAAAACCTAACTGCTTAACATAGTGTAGGCAACAGGGATCGAGGGGTGGAGCTGAGGAGTGTTAACGTGCAAGTTGGTAGGGTGCACTGTAGGCACACAGTGAAGATGCAGTGAAAGGCAGCTATTACTGCTTTCAAGGTATTGGGATAACAGTGAAGTAGCTGATAAAGGCTACAGTGTATCCCACAAGACAAAGAGGGAACATATCTGATAGGTAGATGGGTTTCTACCAGTGACATTCAGATGATTGCAAATATGCCTTTGACACCATTTCCTGTGTCACAGGAGAACATTGGAGCACAGAGAACTCAGCCAGTGGAGAGCCCCAGGGTGCAGAGATGTGAACCCTATCCTGATGTCAGTGTCTATCTAGGACTGACTTCAGAACATCCAAAGGCCAGTGCAGACTTGGAAATCAAAGAACTAAAGGAATCAGGTATGGCCTAAACATCACTTTGATACCAGTGTATTTTGAGAATCACTTGAGCTACAATTAATCGTATTCTTTAAACTGTACATGTAACTTATGGTGGGAAGATAGGGATACTTTAGAGAAAAATCAAGATCCTTAAAATTATTAAACTTTTTGAGTCCTATAAGTATCTGGCTTGGATGGAGAACTAAATAGTAACAGTGAGTTTATTTTTAGCATTACTCTTTTCTTTCTTCCTACCTTTTTCTTTTTTAGTTTTATTTATTTTTTTCTTGAGACAAGATCTCACTGTATAGGTCAGGCTGGCCATAAACTCACTATGTAACCCAGGATGGCCTTGAACTCACAGCAATCTTCCTGTCTCAGCCTCTGAAGTGCTGAGATTATAGATATTGCCACCATCCCTGGCTTCTTTTCTTTTCTTTCTTTTTTTTTTTAGAAATCATCTCACTGTGTACTCTGGCTGGCCTTAAACTCTCTGTGTGGTTCAGGCTGGCTTGAAACTCAAGATACTCCTGCCTCAGCCTCTTATGTGCTGGGATTTCAGATTTGCATGACCATGCCTGGCTGTGATTACTCTTAAAATATTATGTAGTTGCTTCAAAACAGAAATGACTTTTTAATTTTTGTATTTATAATTACTATCTGCTAACTGGCCATGCACTGGCCAGGTGTGCCGATATATGGTTGGAATCTCAGCTAATCAGGAGGCTGACGCAAGAGTATCACTTGACCCCTAGGAGTCCCAGGCCAGTGGGGGCAACTTAGTGAAATCTAATCTAAAAAAAAAAAAAAGACCTGCTCTCTCCTCATTTTGGAAATTTAAACAGTACAAAGAAGAAAATTTCTTACCATTTTAATTCTATCATTTAGAAGTAATTTACTAACATTTTGCTTTTCCTTTAAAAATTTTCTATACTTTACTGCTTTTTAGTACACTTAGAAACCTTAGAATTAGAAACTGAAAAGGGCCTTATGATCATTAGACATAATTCCCTGCCATTACAGATGAGAAAACTAAGGTGTAGGGTTACAGCCTGCTCAGGGTCGCAGAACTTGTTACAGAACTGGAACCCAGGCCTTCTCATTCTAGCCAAGTGACCATTCACTCATACTCTCCTCTTGTTAGAGCTGGAAGCCTCCATAGTGGCTCCCTAAGCCCTTATTTTTTTGTCTCTTTTATCCCATTTGCTTCAAGCTGGACAGCAATCGGGAATAGTGTGTGGTCACCACTGGCATTATCTTTTGTTATTTATCCCTCCTTGATGCAATGGTTTCTTGGGTCCTTCTGCTACTTTTTTTTTTTTTTGGTACCGGGGATTAAACTCAGGACCTTGCGCTTGCAGGGCAGGCTGCAGAACCACTGAGCTAAATCCCCGACCCCTCTTCTGCTACTTTTATCAGATGCTCACTAAGAGCATAACTGTAACATAAATCATCACATGCGTTTGTGGGTAAAGAAAGCTATGAGGATAGTCCTTGAGATGCAGGGGCCTATAATTTTTGTGTCTCAGCAGTTAAACATGTTTTGAATGCAGTATAAATGAAGCTTATGTTTTCCTTTGGACCTGACCTCTTCCACCCACAAAATTTCTCTTCATTCCATGTGAAAATGAGAACTTTCACTTAGGTTAAAAATACCCTTTGACTCTGTGTTGACTGTATGCAGTGGTCTTTCATAACTCTGAGGGAGTTGGGAAATAAAGGCTTTGTCTGCATTCTTGTGCCTCTTGGGCAATGACCAAGGCTGCTTACCTGCTGAATATAGTAATCACTTTAATCAGTTGTGTGTTGCTGCTCTTTTCAACAGGCAGTCAGCCCCATTCACCAAGGGGCCACTCTTCTCCCACTGCAAAAGCAGCATTAGCTCCTCAGGCCCCAGATCCACATCTGAAGGCCCAAGTGTCTCAGAATCCAGATGCTCCTCCTCCTTCTGCTCCATTTGTGGCAGAAACCAAGAGCCCCAGTGCTGGTCAAGACGGTCTCCACAGCTTCGAAATCAATGAAATCTACTCAGGCTGCTTGAATGTAGGAGATGACCCAGAGGAAGAATGCCCAGGTGGTACTTCAGCTCGTGAGGGTGGTAAACCAAACCAGGCAGATGAACTGCCATCCCTAGAAGAAGAGTTGGATAAGATGGAGGAAGAGGCACACCTTTGTGATGAGGATGAGAGCTCCTCAGAAGCTGACACAGAGATCTTCTTTGGGGACTGGGACTGGCAAAATAGTTCACTTAGTTTACTCAGCCTGCCTGAGCCAACCAAAGAAGCCAAGGGCAAGGTGAGCAGCTGGTCCAAGACTGAGGAGTACATCAGTAAATGTGTGCTGAATCTAAAGATTTCCCAGACAATGGCTCATGAGATTACAGATTTGGTGGGGAATATTGAGCAGAAGTTAGATAAGGTTGAGTTGATACAGAAGAAGCACATATCTTTGTGGACTGCTTCAAGATTATTTCCAGATGTCTGTGACTTACCTAGAGCAGTGGGCCCTCCAACTTTAAATTACATTCATCCTGTTATGCAGGTGTCAGGGGGCCCCCAGCCAGATACTAATGGCAGTTGCCCAACCCTGCCAAGGTCCCCAAGAACAATGAAAGAATTTCAAGGGGGACATTTTGGCAAAAAGCTCAAGAGACAAAGCAGCAGTGGCTGGAAACCTTTCACCCAAGTCTCTGAAGAAAACACCAAGGACCAGCCAGAGGGACGTCATCAGGTAAATCAAAGTGGGAGGGAGGGGCAACCTATAAAAGACTGCAGAGCCAGGATCAGCACTGCCCCCACCCTTGTGTAGGAGCTGGCATACAAATGCCACTAGCTCATAGCAGGGTTCCTCTTGGCTTTTGGAAACAATTCAAGGTAGATACTCTACCTCCCATTTTCAAACCCAGCACACAGCCAATGTCTTTTTCTGTAAATTCATACATTTTAGATAGTCATATAGAATATTTATTTTATAGGCCAAAACAATTAAGTATAAGCAACTTCACATGGTTTAAAATATCCTATAAGGTATTCTGTACAGATATTCATCTCCATTGTAAATTGCTTATTCATTCATTCATTTACACATCCAGAAACCGTTTTTATCAACCCAGAGGCTGTATTAGAACCTGGAATATGATGAGGAATAAGCTACAAGCTATGCCCATAAGCAGTTCACATACCAGTGGGAGTCTGAGGGACTTGCTGGTCACAGGAGACATTTCAAAGTGGACACACAGGGAGCTGGCCTGGGAGTGTACTGGCAGTTGTGAGGTTCCAGAGTAGCTTCTTTGTGAGTGCTTTAAGGGCAAAGCTAAGATCTTATTCCTGTGATTCAGCACATGGCTTGGGCCTGACACTAGAAGATGCTTAACAAATGATCATTGAGGGCATGAATGCATGGGTAAATTTGAACAAGTTCACACAGAGCAGTCTGCTTGTTGAGTTACTGACTTTTAGAGCTCATAGACTCCTCAGACCTGGGTCAATTTTGTCATTTTATAGTGTGGTGCTCAAGCTCAGTAAACTTACTGAGGTCCAGTGGTGTCACCAAGATGGGAATAGGGCAGGAGAGTTCTGTCCCAGAGGATTTTACTACTGAAATTACTTTAAATGACTAGCTCATGGTAATGAAAGGCAGATCAACTTTTGAGGGTTTTATTACTGTTAAAGTCTCCACTTAGGGTGCACCCTATTGTTTTCTGCATACCACAGATGGACCCTCCCCCCTCATTTGCTATGCCATTGGTAAAATCCAAGCTGGTTGGGATCTTCTAACTCCAGTCCAGTTTTCTTTCACTGTGCCATGCTCAGTTTAAGTGAGGATTCAACTTTTACTTAGAACACTGGAAATACATTGACTTTTTGTCTTTTCTTATTTTTGGTGCTGGGGATCAAACTCAGGGCCTCAGCCATGCTAGGCACGATCTCTACCATAGAGCTATACCTCCAGCTCAGGCATTTTTTATATAAAGCACAAATAATTTATTTAGTTTCTAATATTTGCTTTCATTGACTATTAGGCTTTCACAGAAAACTATTGGAAGTAACTGCTCGTATTATGTTTTGGTTATCTATTGCTGTCCGATGACAACAAACCCTCAAAACTTAGTAGCTTAAAATAGCCATGCCTTCTTATTTCTCACAGTTCTCTGGGTCAGGGATTGAGAATTGGCCTGGCTGGTCCTTCTGTTCTATGTGGCATTAGCTGGGTCACTGGATTGCATTCTGCTGGAGACTGAACAGGGCAAGAAGGAACAAGATGGCTCTATTTACATGGCTGATGCCTTGAGGTCCTCCCTGGATTTCTTCTCTGCACTTGGCTTCTCATCATTCACAACATCATGTCACCTAAGCCTCTCTATGCTGTGGTGGCTGGCTGGCTGACTTTCTTTCTTTCTTTGGCTTTTTGACACAGGGTCTCCCTGTTTAGTTCAGGCTGACCTTGAACTCACTGTATAGCCCACGCTGGCCTTAAACTTGCAGCTATCCTCCTGAATCTCCTGAGTGTTGGAGCAGCTGGCTTTCTAAGTAAAAGTTGAAACTGCCTTGCCTCTTAAAAGTTGGTCCCAACACTAAGATATTGTCACTTCCACTGCTTTGTGCTGGTCAGGGAAAGTCAGAAAGGCAGCCTAGTTCAAGAAGATGGAAATAGGCTCCAGCTCCTGATAGGGTAGACAGGAAGGGAAGGAATTGATGGCATCCATCATTGGAAACTATCTACTAGTACATATGACTGTGTATAAAACAATTGTTTGTATTTTTGTATCATCAGGAAATAAGGCATTTCTACCAAGTGAATTTTTCAGGGTTGAAATTGATTCCTTTGATTTCTTAATTATTAAAATTTTAAGAAAAACATTACAAACTTCTTATTATTCTAAATATATATTTTAATTATAATTCTAAATATATTCTAGCATTTCCTTGGTGATAGTGAGATTTTTGTGGATATTCATTCTTGTCATGTTCCCTCATATAGTGGCATCTTCAGCCCTTGTGGAAAAAATGTTTGCTCTTATGAAAGACCTCTTGAAGGCATACCACAGGGAGGTTGTGACCATTTTTTATTTCTCCTCTCACTTTTATGCATCTTGCTGCTGTTTCCAAACTCCACAGTTGTACCTTTAATTTGATGTAAGCAAGGAAATATAATTAACTTATTTTATTAAAATTAGGTTATAATTGAAATAAGGAGATCTGAAAGTCTCTCTTTTGAATTAAGGACATAGACTTTTATTTATTTTACTTCTGCTATTTCCAAAGTATTGTAGCCTTTATTTTATTATATTTTATTTTCATAGCATCTTCTCTGGTGGTATTATTGTCCCTGCTTTACAGATGATGAAACTGCAGTACACTACTCAGTTAGTCTAAGTAAGGCTTAGACTAGAACCCAAGGCCCAGGGCTTCTGTAACAAATATATGCTGCCCTCGTATTAGTGTTGGAGGAAATGCACAGGAGAGTGTTTGATTTTTTTAATTTCTATTTTATTTGCTCATTTTCCACGTGGGTTCTTGGGGGCCAGCATTTCTGGGTAAAGGCCTCAAGCTAAGAGATAAAGTATAAAGTACTAGATAAGAAACATGCAAAGGATAGATCTGGTAATTTCTAGAGATTTAGCCAGAATGGGTTTGAAAGTACAGTGAGAGAGTAAAGAGAATTCTTCAAAGCACTGAAATGTGGTTATTGTTTTTCAAGCTGTCAACTCTTTGTGATCCTGGAAAACAGGACACAGGTGAACCATTTCAGGCTACTCAAGGAGCCAAGGACTGTTTGGAAAAGAAGAAGAACCAAGATAGTAGGTGAGTCAACATTCTACTGTTGTTTGTGCCACTATGTCTTAGACTCTCCTGTGGCCCTGTGCCCACCAAATGAATGTCATATGTCTAATGACAGAGGGACTGGGAATAGTGAAAAGGAGCAACACGGAAGCAGATGTTGTCAGGTCCTGTCTGCCAAGTGAATGGAAAGAGCAGAGTAATGGAAACTTGCAGGAGAGAGCATAGGCAGCGTGGCTGGCAGCTTAACCAGACAGAACTTATTCTTTGTCCAAAGCAAAACATCTGGCCTTTCCAAAACTGCCCTGATAATTTTTCTTGTAAAAAGAAATGCCAGGTACTCCACAAGCCAAACTTATTGGAAAACAGGGTTTAACATGTTCCTCCCAGCTTGAACCTCCGGTGGTACTACCTTCTAGTGGTAGAAGCTGCCCAATGGGACAGTCATGATATTCAGCCCTATTGTGAATATGTTAAAGTGAGTATCACTGGCTCCAGAGAAGTTGAATAATATTCTCCTGGAGTTTGTGATTTCTGGCTAGTTGAATGAAATGAATTGACATTAGCAGAAATCCTCTGGGAGGAGAGTATTTATATGTGTTGGGTTTTGAATTATTTATGTAAAATACATTTTATTTTATATATGGGCAATTATTAAAGAAGAAATGAATGTGTTTCTTTTTCTTTTTTTCTTTTTGTTATGGGAATCAAATTCAGGGCCTCATTCTTGCCAGGCAGGCACTGCACCACTGAGCTACATCCCCAGCTAGTTTTTAATTTTTAAAACTTGACATAACTGCATGTTTTTAATCATCCACAAGATGATGTTTTGAAGTACATATTTGTTGTGGAGTGGTTAGATCTAGGTAATTGCACATTGCTCTCAGTTAGCATGTTGTGCTAGAGCACACACACCCGGTCTCCACTTTCAAGACTGTGATGTTTCATCATCCACTGTAGGTACTATGGTGTACAATACAGATAACCACCATTCCACTACTTCTATGAGATTAACATCCTTTGATTCCACATAGAAGTGAGATCATGCATATTTGTCTTTCTGTGTCTGGCTTATGTCAGTATGTCCCCCCTCCCATATTGTCACAAATAGCAGGATTTCATTCTTTCTGTGGCTGTTTTATTTTGTGTAGGGAGTACATACATGTGTATACAAAGACATATATCACATTTTTGTTATTTATCTCTTGTTGGACACCTAAGTTGATTCCATGTCTTGGCTATTATGAATAGTACTGCAATAAATGGGATTGTGGATATCTCTTCAAGATACTAATTTTAGTTCCTTTGGATATATACCCATTAGTAAGATTGTTGGATCATAATGGTAGTTGTGTTTTTAATGTTTTTTTAAGAGGGTCTTGTTATGTTGAACAAGCTAGTCTTGATCTCAACTCAAGTGATCCTCCTGCCTCAGCCTCCTTAGTAACTGAGACTATAGGATTCACTGCTCTGCCCAGCTTATTTTTAATTTCTGTACCCTTTCCCTTGTTATTCTCATTTATATTCCCACCAAATATAAAGATCCTCCTTTCTTTACATCCTCTCAAACATTTGATACAGGGCTGGGGATTTAGCTCAGTGGTTCCGGTGCCTGCCTCACAAGCACAAGGTCCCGAGTTTGATCCCTGGTACCAAAAAAAACCCATTTTATATGTTAAAAATACTTTTCAGGCTGGGCATTTAGCTCAGTGGCACCACACCTGCCTCACAAGCACAAGGTCCTGAGTTTGATCCCTGGTAAGGGGGGATAGATACAGATATATGTTTCAAGCTAGACTACTATATTAGTTTTTTGTTTTTCTGTGCACAAATGACAACCCAATTCCATAGCTTTGAAGTCAATTCTGCTAGGAAAAAACACCTCTCCCATACCCCATTGGTATTAGAGAGTAATAACAAGAGTTTGATGTTCTTTTGTTGGTAAATATGTATATAAGGGAGTATGAAGGAAAATGCTTGGCCATTTCAGTCCAGTGGATTTTACTCTGACAGAGGGATTTATGGAGAAACATCTATGTGGCATCAGAAGGTTTGGCACTCATGCAATTGATAGAAACAGATGGAGTGACATTAGTGCTATTAGATGACAAAGAAGCAAATGTGCTTGTGGCCTCCCTTGCTCAGCTTCACCTTCTTCCCTTAAAAGAGTAAAAACAGGCCAAATAAAAGTTTAATGTTTTGCTACCTATTTATCTATTCTTTTATATGCTTTTTAAAAAGAAAATTACAGGGCCAGGAATGTAACTCAGCGGTGTGGTGCCTGCCTGGCAAGCGCGAGGCCTTGAGTTCGATTCCCAGTACCCCCCCTAATTACAGTTACTCTATGTATGGGCAATTTTACCTCATGGATTTTCACTTTACATTAGAATATAAGCATTATCCCATATTAGCTTTTAAAACCCTATAAACTTATTTTGAAGTTGTTGGATTTCCCCCATGGTTGAATTTTAGTTATTTCATTCTTTATTCTGTTAGGAATGAGGCCACAGTGACTTGTAAAGAAATTTTTCCTACAGTTTGGACTATGTCCTCAGGAAAGATTTCTAGAATCAGAGTTACTAGGTGAAAGGGTTTGAAAATCTTAAAGATTTTTGATAGTTGTTTCTGAAGAGTTCTTTAAAGAAGTTGATCAAACTGACCTCTCTGCTTTCTGTCCCAGCTGTGGGGGAGTGGTGCGTTCGAGACAATGGGGAAGTCATATCTGTTCCACAGAGCACCCAGTTCTAATATTAGTTTAGTTAATATAAGTATATATAAAGTCATAGGGTAGTTAGAAGGGGAAAAAAGGTACCCTTATTTTGCAGTTGAAGAAACCCAGTGAAGAGAGATTGACATTTGCCAAAATCAGACAGCTAACCTAGAAAATCAGGGTCCAGAACTCAGTAAGAATAAACTAAGGACTCAGAATGTCCTTCACAGTCCTGGTGCCTTATGGCCATCTTTACAATGTTAGTTACTATGCTATCACTGATATTCAGGTGGGCCTGTTACCAGGGAAGTCTGATGGAAGGGATGGAACTGAACTTCTCCTAAACCATTACCTTGAGGACTTGGGGGACAGGTGGGCACTGCAGCAGCCCATGGGACCAGAATTCTGTCTGGTGAAACTGCTTTTAAAGTGTGGGTTTCTTCTACTTCCAAAAATGTCTCAAGAAAATGTTTAGAATCGTAAAATTGAACTTGGAAACTGAAAAAGAAATCTTCAGAGATCTTCTAGCCCAGCCTTTTCATTTCTCAGCCAGGAAAGATCTAGGGAGTCCAGTACCCAAGACAAAGTCGTGGAGCTAAAGAGTTCCCTCTTACGGCCGGGGATTTAGCTCAGTGGTTTCACCACCTGCTGCGCAAGCACAAGGACCCGAGTTTGATCCCTGGTACCAAAAAAAAAAAA